TCTGAGATAAATAATTTTTTTTAGTTAGATTATATATTTTAAATAAATAATAATAAATAATTAAATTTTCTCTCAATGAATCTAAAATGTAACTTTTAAGTGAAATATGTTTCTATAATTCTACATTTTGTGTGTGTGTGTGTGTGTAAACATTCTGTGATATGTACGCAGCTGCATACACATTGGAAATCAAAATTTTTTAAATACAATAAATAAAATATTTAATATGGAAATAAATCTTACGGATTTCAACTATTGGGGAACAGAGCGTAAAAGGATTGCCGGTATAGCCGGGAATGCAAATACAAATCGGCAGATGATTAACCGATTGACATTGAGCATTCACTCCACATGTTCCTGGACAAGGGTCTCTGCATTTCAAGTTCATGCACGCCATTCTTGTTAAACAGTCAGAATTTTGCGTGCACTCGGGTCTGCATTCTTGGTAAGGGTCACCTAGGTAGTCCGGCAGACAGGTGCACGAGCCAACGCCATTGTTCTCACGGCAGACGGCATTGATGCCACAAGGGGAAGGCTCACATGGTTTTCTAATGTCTAGGGGTGCATCTATTATAAAAAGAAATTTTATTTAAACTTGAACACATGCAGCATTTTTCTCCAAAAGCTGATGCTAGGCTGAGGAATTTTTTGACTTTCAATGATTTTTTTCGCATTCGCATTTTCGCATTGCGAATTCCTAATAAGCAATAAGCCTCATATGGTAGTGCGACGTAATAGCTTTGCATGTTTAATGCTGGGTTATCATCAGTTGACGAATATATATATATATATAATAACTCGAAGAGTTATCAGTTTTTAGTGGGCAATGTTTTCTAGCAATTGTTTCATCATAAGCGTGTTCGATTTTTTATCGAATTAATTAATCGAGTTAATTACAAAGTGCGAGACACGATTGGTAACATATTATTTCTTTAAGGACGGGACGACTATCTTATTTTGGGATCTATATTGTAGTGTGTTTCATTAGAATTTGTTAAAACTTTTGTAGGAGTTGCGCTCTTTGCAGTAACACTTTTTGCATTATTGATCTATTCGAGAATGATATGTGCAGCATGATTATTGGGTGGTCCACAGCATATGTCAAAGGTCAGAGTGCTCTTACATGTGAGTGGGTCTTTAACGGATTCGTTTTAACAGGTCAGTGCGTGCAAATAACATTTCAACAATTAATCGCAGGGATTAGAGATTCGCTTAGTTATTCAGTGTCAAATAAGGGTATGTGCAGCCAAGAGCCTATTGAGTATAGGCCCCGTCACCAATTTTGTGACTATCTATCATTATTGTTTTTTCCTGCATTAGATTTCTGGGTCAGTACGCTCAGGCATGGGAAATGATTGCGTGCTACATTATTTTTCTGTTAATTGTAGGGATTCGGGACACGTATATATAATCTTATGTTATTGATTTTAATCAGGAATAAGTACAATTACGAGCCTAATATCTATAGGCCCCCACCACCTAACACATGTGCTTTATTATCACCTCCTATTAGAGATTTCTTTGTGATTATGTGCTACTGTCGCACAAATATATTCTCACATTAACGTTATGTATGGTTAAGACACGACAAGTTTCAGTCTGACTTCTAAAACTATATAATATCACATATCTGACGATAACGGAATAGTGATGATTATCAAACAGTTTTTCAAACTTCAGCTGATCTTCTAAACAGTTGATCATACTATATAATAAATAATACTTAAGCAATCTCTTGAGAAATATTTCAACAAATGCAAAATTTTAAATCATTATAACTTTGAGCATCGATATTATTTGATAAGAAACAAAAACGCTTGAGCTACCATCTTGACTTATTATTATCATTAGTCATATTATAGAAGCACTTACCTGCCGCGCCTGCATGCAAATGGCGACATTTGCGGAAGGGATTGTAACAAGAAGAAATAAAACATAACAGTTGTGTACTCACCTTCGGGTACTTGTTCACAGGCGCTGAATGGATTTCCGGTGTATCCGTTGATGCACGTACAAATCGCGTGGTGATTCACTACCGAGCACTGAGCGTTCGGACCGCACAAACCGACACACGGATCGCGACACTTTTGTTGCATACAAGCTAACTGCGGCGGACACTCAGGATTAATTGTGCACTCCGGTCGACAATTGGGTGGCAAACCAACATAATTTTCGATACACGAGCACGCAGGATTATCACCCCTCACTTGACACTCTGCGTTAGGACCGCAAGGCGATGGTAGACACGGATTCATTAGTGCAGGTGGTGTTTCTATAAAGAAATATGTTTAAATGAAAAAATTTAATGCTAGAATAATTAAAATATAATTTGATTATCCAAAAGATATATATGCATAAAATTCAAAAACTAAATTATTTTTAAGCAACGAGAAAGCATAGGTTTCTTTTAATAATTTACGCCATTAACAATTTATAAAGATAAAAAATTAATGGAAAATATATAAGATATCTCGTTAATAATTTCAGAGCCATACTAGCAATGTTTAGAAACTTTTAAGATATTTTTTATAATCATCAATTGCAATTGATCCAATTATAAAATAAATTTATTAATACTGTAATATCTAATCTAAATAACTTACTTGGTTGCGGATAACATATTGTGAAGGGATCGCCTGTATAAGATTCAGAGCAGCTACATATTGGATTATGATTAACCACTTGACAGTTCGTATTCTGTCCACACGTGCCTGGACATGGATCTTGGCATTTATTATTTAGACACGCTTGTGTCAATGGACAGTCAGCGCTAATAACGCATTCTGGTTTGCAGGTGGGTGGACTGCCAATTAAACCAGGTTGACACGAACATACAGCATGATCATTCACAACTTTGCAGATGCTGTTTGGTCCACAAGGCGAAGGTATACAAGGCTGTTTAATGGTATCTGCAAATGCGAATAATAGTTATCAGAAACGACAAT